TTTTTTACATGTTTTCATGGCCTGCAGTGACTTGGCTACACCAACACTTGCTGGTCACCAACAGTTAGCCATTTAGTAGTAACAGTGATTATTTTTTTTACAGTACGAAAGCTATTGAGTCGGATTCCAAGGAAGATGACACCCAATGGCTGACTTACTGGGTGGTGTACAGCGCCTTTAGTCTGGTGGAATTTTTCTCTGATATCTTCCTGTCTTGGTTTCCGTTTTACTACCTTGTTAAAGTGAGTCACTCAGAACTGTGCTAGAATCATGTCTTGGTTTCTATTTTATTACCTTGTTTAAATTTTTTATATTTCATGTATGTAAAAACAATATCCTTTGTTGCATGCCACCCCCCCCCCAATTGACTTAGTGCAATGACAGTTGTAGACACCTAAATGTACATGTATTCCTTGTTTGTGCTGCAGTATGTGATGCACTGCAGTATGTGATGCACTGCAGTATGTGCATCTTCGTTAGCCAAAGGTCTAAGTTTAATCTGCCAAGCCTCTAAACAGACCTTAGCAGAACATCCATCAAATATGCGTATTCTAATAACGCCCACAGTAGCCAGTTGCGGCTAATCATTGTCCAATCAGTTTGCGTGTTACAAATCCCTCTTTGACGTTAAAACAAAATGGCGGCGCCCATGAACTGTTTTATTTGTGATGATAAAATTGCAAAAGTTTTTGGTGTTGGTGCCCTCAAGCCTCATCAGGTACAGGCAATCGACGCAGTTTTGTGTGGGAAAGATGTCTTCATAGCGACAAAAACAGAAAGTGAAAGTTTGTTTTATAATTCAGATCTCACTGCTTAAAATACGCAATTAGCCTATGCGATCCTGCACGGTATCAAGTACATGTAGAGGCCTATAGGTCGAAGACACAGGACCATGCGATTCAGACGATGCAGTATGTGATTATCAGTACCCAATATACTATATGATCACACTATCTTAATCAGAAATATTTAACTGTTGAAATATACCTTACACTTTCATTTTTATTCCATCTGATAGCTGTTGTTCTTGTTGTGGTGTATGGCTCCAATTGCAAACAATGGATCACAGTTCATCTATAAACGTGTTGTTAGACCTTTTGTGCTGAAACACCAGAAACAAGTTGATGAAGCACTTGATAAATTCCAAGGAATGGCTGCTGATGCCATCAATGAAGGTAAGCAAAATATCGCCCTCTAGGTTTGGTGTAAGGAATTACCATTTTGTACTGAGCAAAAGGAGCAGAGTAAAGGGAGCGGTCGAAACGAGCATCAAATCTTTGTTTGCAATCAGTTATGAACAATGTCAGAGTACTTGTCCGAAAAGTTGTGCAAGTGACGTTGATGGTGTGTATGCATGCGACTGTTCATGCGCGAATGAGTGAGAAATGGTATGCAGTTGACCTTAGTATCTGTAACAAGTAGGGAAGAGTGGATTACAAAGTTTTGTTCTCTATCAGAATAATTAATTTTTATAAACCTATATATTCTTTGTTTTCTTCATAAACCAAACATGTCAGTTTATGTCATTTATGCAACTAAACCATGCTTTGTAAATTAAACCTACATGTCAAAACAACTGTACTCTAATTTAAGTTGCATGATCTAATGTCAATGGGTTGTGTTTACACTTTGTAGGCTGGAAGTCAGTCTGTTTGATTAAAATCCAGATGCAAATTCTCTGAAATCTTGTCAGTTCATTGATTTTAATGTTAATCGCACAGCTGTTGCAAATTTATTGTTCGGATATTATAATAATAATTCAGTATTTGCTACTAATGTGTGATGTCCTTGTTGCCATTCCATTAGTCTGTATTTTAAGGTGGAATAAGTGATTTGGGGATTAATGCTCAGAATTATTTATTGGTGTTGGGTTAAAGGTTGTATGTTATAATACATGTCTAAAATGAAGCATTCATAGAGAATGTTTCCTTGGGTGTGTGGGCTTGTGTTCATTAATAATAACTAATCACAACTCCTCAGCCAACTGACCAGTCAAGATTTTTTGCTGTTTGACTAACTTTTATTTCTTCGTTGTTCGCTTCCATTCTGACCTTATTACCCTTTATCCAGTTATGAAACGTACCCAGAAAGTTGCCGGCGAAGGTTTGTGCCTGAACCACACGTTTAAGTTCACATTTATTATTTCAGTAGAATTTTATTTTAAATGTTCAATAAACTTAATTCTGAAGTTGCGTTACATTTGTTCAATGTGCACATAAATCTGTTTCTTGTTGCACATTCTGTTTTCAATTTGGAATTTATAATTTTAAGCAAGATTGGTTAAATTTGTATGTTGTGATAATTAACTTTTAACAACATATTGCATGATATTGCGTTCACAATCCAACTGTACGTCCAATGAAACCCATGAACCCCTACACCATGTATCCTGCATGCAGATTTTCTATCATCTGACATACCTCCCCGTGATTTGCTTGCTGCCTGCCCAAATTCTTTCAGCTGCAAAGAACAGTTTGAGTTGAAATTTTAAAATTGCTATTTGTATTACCAACAACACATGTTTAGTATTTTGTTTGCACTAAATAGTGATTCAGGCTTGTTTGTGTCTTGTCCATTTCAAAGTACAGGCTGGAATCAGACTTGGGTGTTGGATAATGAAGGCTGATAATTGTTTCTTGAACAGGATGGCTGTTCCAGATAGTTGTTGTAACCTGCATGTGGGTTGGGGATATCTGGTGAAGGGTGCAGTGGTAGATACATGTTGCTAACTAATTCTGCTTTAAATGTGTTTTTCCAATCTCTTTGTATCGTCTCGACAGTTCTTGGTGATCCTTGTAAATGGTTATTATTCTTATAAGTATGTTTTTTTTTAACTTTTCAGCCGAAGTAGCAGCACGTGAGGCTGCAGCTGATGCTGCTTCCAAAGCTGCAGCTGATGCTGTCAATGCTGGTTTAGATGACAAGAAAGTCAACTAGAGATCCATGAAATAACATGGCAAAACCACATATGGTCTTGGTACAGTGAAGGATGCTGGGAAACTTAAGACATAAATAAGATGCACTAATGTCACATTTCCTATGATTTAAAGAGGGATTCATTTGAAAACATTGAAAATTGGCATTCTGAATGAGAGTTGGTTTTGGGTGAAGTTGAATTATTTAGGACACAATATTATGCAACTGCCTCACAAATTATGATAATTCTCTTTTTTCACAAGTATTTTGCAAACACTGTCAAATGCATGGGATATGAACGAATTTTAAAATTATTGTAATGATAAACAAAATTGTTTTTGTTTTTTTGGAGTGGCACTCGCTATGTCTTCATTTCAAAGACTGGTAAATTAATTTCTGATTTCATGTTGGTTTTGACATGAATATTCATATGCAAGCCCTTATTTGGTAATTTTTTCCTCCATCGCCAGCAAGTGTAATAATAGATATTTCTGATTTTGGAATTACAATGGCAAATAGTGCTACAGTCTCAATCTAGAATAGTGACCAACAGACATGGGTTTCTCTCTGCATAATATTTCTAACAGGGCTACAAAATGTTTTTTTTAATGTACAATATTGTTAGCAGGGTTTTAAAGGGAAGATTTCGTAGTTGGGAAATTTTTTTTTTTGAATACTTGTTCAGGTCTGTTTACATTCTAGAAAAATGTTTTGAACACTCTAGCAAATTCGTTTATTCCTGTTAACTGGTTTTCCATTCTTTAGATAGGTATGTTTCTTTCTACATATAAAACACAAAGTTTATTGCATTATAGTGATGACATCAAACCAATACAGTAAATGACATCAGTATAAAGCAAGAAATAAGCTTGCAAAACAGTAATCGTTATAGAAACACAAGAATAGATGACATCATTTTAATAGCACAATAAGTGATGACATCATAGCAGCCATTTATTTACAAGTACTATATCCACACGAGTGTCTTGACCCAGTATGGTATTCCATGTTGTTCATTGGGTATATAGGTTAGATTTGATAGTTATTACATTGTTATACATTTGTCTCGCCACCTCATCTCGTACATGTCTTCCATACAAAATAATGCAGTCATGGAGATTTTTTTGGAGGTATAAAAACTTTTATTAAGATTTATTGCTCAAACCAACGTGATACATGTTTTGTCATGCCTTGTTTTATTTAAATGTATGAATGTAACTACCTAGCACGTGTGTTGCTATGGTAACCTAACATGTGATCAGGAACTAATTAAACAGGCGTGTTCAGGCCACACCTCCTTGGTTCAATCCATGTATATTCCAATGAAACAGGTCTAGTGTTTGGAGTGAATTTATGTTCAAGTTGTGATTTTTGAGTGAACTCTTACATGCGTGTAAACATTCTGACTATACATGTACCCCAGTATATTGAATGCATGGCAGTCCACAAAGGTAAGAGTAGGGAATGTTTGCGAGCCATGTGTTAGTCTAAGCACTGATAACTCTGTACCTGTTGGTTTTATCAATTTAAACTGTTCTTTCAACTTATTTATTAGCAATTTGAATCTTGTGCATTTCCACAAAATCCAGGTTGTAGAATTTGTAATTTAAATGAATGATAAACATGATGAAACAAATAAAGCTTTGGGAGAATGACCTTGTCTCATTTATTTAGTGGGCACCCTATTATGACATTGGCAGGGTAGATGCATGTAGTGGAAATCATTGGTCAATATTTTAATCTGTCCTAGAGCATCATTAGGTGGTTATTTAGATGTTGTGG